CATCAAAACTCAGGTTAATAATTTCACCCTCTAGATCTTTTGCACACTGCTCAATTTCTCTTTCATACACTTTATCCAGCAATTTGCCTGCAATTTCTGCTCTGTTGGGTGGACTGTATCCTGCTCTTAATGACTGAACCATGTTAATGAAGTGTGGGTTCTCAATCATACGGAAAGGAGAGTTTGTTGCATAAACAAATCGGGCAATTTTTTCATCAATTACCTCTTTTTGTAATCTGCTGGTTCTTATCACAAACTTATATATGGTTGTTTCTTTTTGCTACAGGTGATATACTATGAGACATAATTGATGTGACTGAAACACTATCATTGGCAGATAACTCTGAAACTATAGAAAATTATGGTGATCTTGAAGGTGGATAGTCTTCAGAATCCTGTATGTTGAGGATGGATTCTCCTAAACAAAATAAGTCGATGCAGTTATTTAATTATTATTACCACACTGCTCATTTAGTATTACTCATTGCATTCACTGACATTCAGTACTACTTTAAAGGTGAAATTGTAAAAGGAAGATCTGCCTATTTCAGCTATTTATTTTTCATCACAACTGCATCTAAAATGATAGTACCATAGAGTAACAACTATATTTTTTTGCTCAAACATGAGAATTCAAGAATAGTCCAGAAGGAAGTCAGGCAGACCTTAAGAAAGAAGTATGAAATAAAAAAGTTTACCAACCTGAAGCGATGTTCCATCATCTTCAACACAGCTTCCTTCTGAGAAGGAACACTTCTCATGATGTTTTTTCATGAGGGCAACCAGGCCTTGCATTTCTTTGTTGCACTGTTTGCATTTTGCACGCATGCCTGTCTTACCCAGAGGTAGAGGAATTTCCTTAAAATATTCCCAAACTGGGTCTCTTTTACGACCTGCTGCCATTATAGGTTTTCCCTTCTAATTATGTAAGCGGGGGAATGGTCCCGCTATTGTGGGGAACTTTCCTGACTTCTGCACTTCCCCGGTGAAGTGGGCCAGCGAAAGGATCTGAGTCCTCGCTCCCACTTCCTTTACCCAGAGGCTTCCCTGCCCTTGAGGACTCCCCTTCCACTCTCCTGTCCAGCAGAGTCCTCGTAACCCCAACAAGGCTGGGCCCAGGATTCCTGGGGGTCTCAACCCCCAACCCTGCTGTGGTCACCTAGGACAGGGGCTAGGGTGTCCCCACTCCAGGGAACTCTCTCTGCACTGGGCACTTCCCTGACCCACTGATCAATACATACAATTTAAAGCAAATACAAGTTGTTTAATCAACGATTAATTAAAAAAAATGGGAAAGGTTAAAGGAAAACACATCACCCCGCTCTGTAGCAGGGAACATTGCAAACAATGTCTCTGGAACATCAGGGCAGTTCACTGTCTGTTCCTTGTAGGTCCCAGGCCTTCTTCTCAGGCCCTGGCTGTGCTGCAGGGATCCTGCGGGTTGGACACTTGCTCTGATGGTGGCCACACAGCTCTGGGCTTTGGGTGGTGGGACCCTTCTTCCCAGCATCAGCCCCTCATCGGGTTAAGATCCCCCTCCCAGTCTGACCTACAAGGCTGGGGGTGTCTTTCTGCGCTGCGCCCTTTGCCCAGAATCCCCCCTTGGCTGGCCCCAGTTGCTCACCGCACCTGGTTCTGTGGCTGCAGCTCTTCCCCCGAGCAGGTTGGCTCTGTAGGCTGCTTCTGTGACTCTGCTCCCAGCACTGACCTGCTTCCTGGCTGCTTGTCTGGACCCTCTGGCTGGCGCGGCTCTGCTCCCCAGCTCAACTTGGGCCCCTGCTTTCTCCTTAGCTCAGCCCCACCCTGTCTTACCCAGGCAATTCCAGCTCACATGCAGGACCGGACCCCACCCTGGCGTCCTGACTCCCTGATTAGCCTGCCCGCCCTATCAATCAGGCTGACCTGAAGCATTGGCCTCTCTCCATTGCCCCTGGGGACTGTCAGTCTCAGGTCCCTGATTTCCCAGCGACCCTTCCCCTTTCTTTTAGCACTGGGAGTTAGCAACCAAAACACCCCCACTGAATGTTAGTAAGGGGACAACAGTCCCCCTTACATAGTGAGAGAATGGTATTGTTGGGGTTACTAGGCCTGCCTGAGCCAAAGTTCTTCCATGTTTAAACTCTGTCCTTCCATGTTTAACTCTAATCGACCTCAAAAGCCAAGGACAGGAATTGGAATGTGTAAACAGCCAGTTATCAGTTACAAACCCCCCTCCCCTCATACCAGGTACCAAGCGATAATGATGAGGCTAGCATGTTTCTGGCTGAAGAGGTAATAAACCAAGGGTAAACAAGACCAGGTAACAGTTTAGAGAGAAGTTACTAACAAGCTAGATTTATATCCCTAGAATGATTTAATTGCTTAAATGTATAAACATGCCTTCAGTAGGGAGGGGAGGGGGAGTAGAGGGAGAGATAGAGGGGGGGTGGTAGAGAGGGGTGGGTGGTATAGAGAGGGGGAGAGAGGGGGGGCTTAGTTGTAAAATGTATAAGAAGAGAGAAACTGATTTTTGCTGGTGTGCTTGATTTGAGACTTGCCTGTCTCCTTGCACCACTTTGAGATCTCAAATAAACTTTGATTGTTTCTCCACCCCGGTATGTTTATTGGTGCGAAGCACACCGGACAACGAACCCCACTGTTGCTGTCCTCGGGCCTCTGTGCCGGCAACAGTATGGTAGATCTCAAATCAAATCAGAAAGACCTCAAGACTTCTGGAATATGCTGCTCAGTTTCACTTTAGTTTCTACTGCCTGTCCCTCCCTTCTCACATTTATCTCCAGACTTCCTCTCCCTGTCAAGCTCTATTCTGACCCCAACCATCTTCTATTCACTGAACTTTTTGAAACTTTGCACTTTTAGAGAAAGGTAAGGGATTGATTCTGTGTACAAAAATTTGCAGAGGGACAATATGGTTGAGGTCTGTTATTTCTCACCATATTCTCTCTCAATAAATATTATTTATTTACTTATTTTAAAACATTTTTGCTATTAACAAGCATGTTATCTCTGGAGACACAAATCCACAGTCTGAGAACTGCAAAACTAAGCATCTCTGATGGTATCTTCTAGACCAGGGGCGGGCAAACTTTTTGGCCTGAGGGCCGCATCGGGTTTTGTAAATTGTATGGCGGGCCAGTTAGGGGAGGGGGCGTGGGCCGGCCCCCACCCCCTATCTACCCACACCCCCCGACAACCCCCCCCAGACTCCTGGCCCATCCAAACCACCCTGTTCCCTGATGGCGCCCCTGGGACCCCTGCCTCATCCACCCCCCCTGCTCCCTGTCCCCTGACCCCCCACCCCTGACTGCCCTGTGCCGCCCCATCCAACCCCTTCTCTCCTTCCTGACCAGGGCCGTCTCTAGGATTTTTGCCGCCCAAAGCAAAAACAATTTGGGCCGCGCCCCCCCCCCCCGTTCTTTAATTCCCCCACCCCGGGCCCTGCCTCAACTCCGCCCCTTCCCTAAATCCCCAGCCATGCCTCCT